TACCCCTGTAATATTCTGAAATTAAAATAAACAAAACAAACCAGACACACCTGTGATGGGATGTTCTCTAGCCATCTTTCGGCTAAATAAAGGCAGAATTTCAAAGCAGACATCTTGAAGGAACCTAAAAAGTTAAAGAAAAGATTTATAAGCAATCTTAATTATCCTTTAAAAAATATATTTTGGCCAAATTGGTAAGTTTTTTTGAATTATAAAAATGCATACTCAGAGTAAAAAAAAAAATAAGTAAATAGGACAGAATGACACAAAGTAGAGAGTAAAAGTCCTTAGAGGCTCTCATTAGCTTCCATTCCTTAGATTCTTATATTCCTTCTAGAAGTTTCCTGTGCATCTGTGGGCACGCAGGTATACATGCCCATTTTAACCCAAATGGGATGAGACCATACATACGCTAATACAATTTGCTGTTCTCACTTTATATCTTGGATATCTTTCCAAATCAGCTATATATTATTCCATTCTATGAATATGCCCTATTTTTTTTTTGACACAGAGTCTCGCTTTGTTGCCCAGGCTAGAGTGAGTGCCGTGGCGTCAGCCTAGCTCACAGCAACCTCAAACTCCTGGGCTCAAGCGATCCTCCTGCCTCAGCCTCCCAAGTAGCTGGGACTACAGGCATGCGCCACCATGCCCGGCTAATTTTTTATATATATATCAGTTGGCCAATTGATTTCTTTCTATTTATAGTAGAGACGGGGTCTCGCTCTTGCTCAGGCTGGTTTTGAACTCCTGACCTTGAGCAATCCGCCCGCCTCGGCCTCCCAAGAGCTAGGATTACAGGCGTGAGCCACAGCGCCCGGCCTCGATGAGCATTTTTTAAAAAAAAAGTTATTGTAAAACTTGTGTTACAGCTGAAAACATGGCAATAAGCGCCTGTGCTTGTGTGTTTGGGTATGCGAGACTATCCAAGGATTCATCACTGAAAGCGTGATCGGGTGTTAGAAAGTACACATCAGTTCACATTCCTACCACCAAGTTGGCTAGTGCCCGTACCCCCGTACCCTGAACACACCGCAAGGACCCTGCTGACTTTACTTACGGGTTTTAGCACTCAGCAGTGCCATGAGTGAAGAGAGCCAGCACATACACTCTAACTCTATCAGCCACAAAACTCTCATATTGCTCCTCTTTAAAGACATAAAGGAAACTTTTTTTAAACACTACAGTTTTAAAGGAAAAAATCTTTACCTTCAGGATATCCTGGGCAAGCTGCTGACAACGCTACGGCCCCTCGGGGTTGACTATATATAAGAAGGACTCGATGGTTTGAGTGATCTTAGTTATTTCCTTGTTAATTGATGTTGAGGATTTCGCTTGTGGTTAACTTCAGGAGCTTTGGCTTCAGCTTTTTTTTCAAAAAACGTGGTTTGGCCGTAGACACGTACAGTGTGTCCAGGGAGATATCAAAGGAAAGGAAAATTATGGCTTGATTCGTATGTTCACCTTTAAGGCTCTACACTGAAAGTAGCATAACAATCTTTTACACAGGGTTGGAATTAATTATAGGATAAAGAAATGTCATACAAAGTTTTAACCCATTACCTTCATTAATTTAGAAATTAAGAGCAATGTCGGAAGGATTCTTCACTGAGTTCTGTAGCTGGAAAAAACAAGGAGATATGATTGCTTACGAAAAAAAAATTTTCACTATTCAGTAAAATTCATTAAAAGTTAATGAACATACAGAGAATTTTCCAGAAGTTCTGTGCTGTGCCAAAGAATATCAGGTGAAAAGGCAGTCTAGTTTGGGCCGCTGATGGCAAAGTTATTACATGTTCCAACATATACTGATATTCTAGGTCCACAGGAGGAGAAATTCTTCTGTATGACTTCAAATGTTTCAGAACATTCATGCCTATATTAAAATAAAAAAATATTTTCCTGTGAGAGTTACCCAATCCTAGGCTGTTTAAAACTCTTCTAACTCTACACCATCAAGGTTTCCATTTCTGACACACTCTTGTTTTCATAAAGATGATTACACACATTTTCTAGTCTTCTCTTTCGTAAACCAATGCTACACTGTTGTTGGTAGGATGTTTGTAAATGAGAGTTGGGTAGTTCTCTACATGTTCTTCAAATAGTTTAAGATATACTTCAAAAAAATACTTGGTTTCATTAAAATGAGAGAAGGCAGATCTAAAATTAATTCTCTATATTCCCTTATCCCTCTTATGTTTATATTTTAAAACTTGGGGGCTTATATAACTTTTTGAATCAATTCATTTTCTTTTAATTTCTAAAATCCAATTAAAAACATTAAAGTTATTATGACCAAAATTCAGAAAGGATAAAAAGTTAATGAAAGCACTGAGATAGAATTTTTTTGAAGAGTTATTGTTATTTTCAAAAATCTGGGAGGAAAACGCTTTATCCAGGACTTTGTACTGGATCTACCCATTAATACACAAAGCTGAATCTACCTCTGAGCCCCATGTTCTTTTGTCTTGCTAGATGGCAAATAATATTGCCTTAACTCTACACAGTCCTCTAACGACTTCCTGCTCTTGGATAGCAGAAGAAGTGGTTGAAATCACCTCAATACAGCAAAAATAGGATGGAAATAAGTGACAAACATGGACAGCATAAAAATCTTTTACTTTTGTGTTCCTTTTAAAGAAAAAAGATCTACAATAAAGTGACCAGTTTAAAGATAGCTCAAAGTTAATCCAGAAAGACACTGGACAACTGTCATATGATTTATGATCCAAATAAAAGCGTGAAGATGATTTTTAAATCTTTAACATATTTGTTTTACCTGATTAATATTAATATTGGTTATCTTTTCATCGGCTCTTTCTATAACTTTCAGGACAACTTCGATCATTTCGTAGTCATAGGGATCCAACTGCACAAAAACAAAATACATCCACCCTTAGAAGGTATCGCCATGCTGTCAGTTTTACTCAATTACGTTCATCAGTAGAGGTCACAAATATAAAATCTCAGTGCACTACCGTGTTACATTAAATCCATTATTCTTTCCAAAGTTAGCTAAAATTTTCTAACTTCTAAAATTACCTCTGTTAGGATAAACAGATATGCTTAAAAATATCTCAAAAGCTATTAAAAAGAAGTCATACAAAGTAATGTTGTTTTAATAAAGAAAGATGCTCTTAAAATACTAAAAACATAAAAAGAATAAACATATGGTCAAAATTTCATAATTTTATAAAATTTCAGAATTAAAGTTCTATTTCTTCTACTTATGATGGGAAAATTAGAATAAGAAGAAATTGACTTTTTCTTGGAAATGACACAACTAAAATCGAGGCCTTCAAGCAAAAGTTTCTCGAAGGATTCTGTTTTAGCTCTACCTATATACTGAAATACAAAAGTTAATGGGGTGCATCTGTATATACTTGTAAAAAGGAAGTATTCTCTTTGCTCTTTGTTTCTGCCCACAGACCATTAATTTTTTTCTATCTTTTTTAAATGCCAACTAAAGTCACATGAAAACAACATTGAACAAAGCAGGAAGATGAACTACTGTACTTAGAAAATTTGAGCAAGTCTATACAATTTTTGGCTGAATTACAGTCAAAATATAAAACTGAAATATTTCTTGCAGTCTTACAACGTTATTTCTCTTGCCATCTGTCTACATTCTCCCATTAAACTATCCCTTGACCTAAAAATTCTAATTCTCAGATCTCCTACGAAGATAACCAAACAAGAGTATGAAAATGTATGTGTGAATATACTCATTGTAACAATTTATAATAATAAAATTTAGGGTGCAGTGGCACACAGTTACAGTCCCAGAGACTCGGGAGGCTGAGGCAGGAGGACTGCTTGCACCCAGGAGTTCAAGACCAGCCTGGGAAACATAGTAGCACCCCTTCTCAAAAAAATTTTTTTAAATTAAAAAAAACTATAAACAATTTAAATGTCCATCCATAAATTAAATACAGTATATTTTATCAACAGTGAAATAATAAACATGCATCTGTCAAAAAATGAGATAGATGTATATGTACTGACATGCAATGAGAATATGTCAAGTGAAAAAAGAGGGTAACAGAATAGTACTTTTAGGATAGGAGAGTCCCTACACCAAACTATTAACATTTCTATTGCTAGGGAATGGGGTTAGAGGGAATCTCCCTTTTTGATTTATTCCTTTCTCTCTAGTATGATTTTTTTTTTCAAGAATGTGTGCTATTTTCAAAAATCTGGGGAAAAAATGCTATGTTGCTGTGTCTAGGACACAAAGGATAGACATGCATGGAGGGACAATCACATGAAGAGGCAGCCAGAGGGCAGCCATCTGAAAGCCAAGGAGAGAAGTGTCAGAGGAAACCAACACTGCTGGCACATTGAGCTTGAATTTACAGCCTGCAGAACCACAAGCAAATAAATTCCTGTTGTTTAAAAAAGAATTGCTGGCCGGGCGCAGTGGCTCACGCTGTTAATCTAGCACTCTGAGAGGCCGAGGGGGCGGATGCTCGAGGTCAGGAGTTCGAACCAGCCTGAGCAAGAGCAAGACCCCGTCTCTACTATAAATAGAAAGAAATTAATTGGCAACTAAATATATAGAAAAAATTAGCCGCGGCATGGTGGCGCATGCCTGTAGTCCCAGCTACTCGAGGCTGAGGCAGAAGGATTGCTTGAGCCAGGAGTTTGAGGTTGCTGTGAGCTAGGCTGATGCCACGGCACTCACTCTAGCCTGGACAACAAAGCGAGACTCTGTCTCAAAAATAAAAATAAAAAAAATAAAAAGAATTTCTATCCCAATTTAAAAAAAAGGCGCAAATTATTGGATTAAACTATATTCAAAATACAGAGATCTAGAATTATTTCAAATTAAAAGTTTATAAAAATATAGAACATATACATCCAATTTGTGGACTATACATATCTAATTAAGGGTGGGAGGGATGTATGAGATGAGCCCATACATTCGTTTCACCATTCCTCTACCTTATGTAGTATTCCACTGAGACTGATGACCAAATCTTTTGTGCTTGTCAGTAAAGGAACCATCTCGAGGGCTTTGCCAGGAGCTTGGACCGCTGCTGCTTTGTAGACTTCGGGCTTGCAATGCTCTGGCTTTGGCTGGCATTGGTGTTGTGGAGCAGTGTTTCAATGAACAGCTGAGAGGCTGCGTCACAGTTCAACTGAAATGTGCTAAAAGATGCATTTAATCACACACTCATCTTCTAAATGCATGCATTTCCATGCAGAGTTTCTGACAAAATACTCAGGTGCATGCTCCCATCATTCTGAAATTTAACCTTATCCGTACAAAGGAATATCAGAATTTCAACAGAAATGACAAAGGTCTGTGTGCACTAACCTTGGAATACATATTGTTAACCAAATGACATGCTACAAGATGGTATATAAATTATAATTCTGTTTGAAACAAATTTTAAAGTGCATGTTACCTACTTATAGTGAAAACTAAAGGACAAGACAAGCCAAACACTTTTTGACTATGATTCTCTCTCAGCATTGGGATATGTAGAACTTTGATTTAATATGTCCAGCTGATTAGAAAAAAATAAGATGAAAAATTAGGATCAAGACATAGAGAAAGTGACAAGTGAAATGCCTTTTCAGGCCCTATTAATAAGATGATGATGGTTTACTTTGCTATACAAATAATAAAAATATCAGAAAAGCTTTAGTCCGCCATTTTCAAGTCATTCTGTGATATTCTAAAGGTCAATCTAAATTTATTCACGACTGCTTGAGGCAAAAGTGTCACTATCACACAAATACAAATCATCAGTGCCACGTAATCAGATGATTGTGAATGAACTGACATTATGGCTACTCAAATTTCAGAAAAAGTTCTGTACCTATAAACAACACACAAGCATCGCCAGGAGTGCAAGTTAATAAGGAGAGTGTGTGCACCTCGCTCTCCTCCAAACAAAGAATGGCATGATTTTGTTATTTCAAAGTAGTTTAAGTCAGTGCTACTTAGAGCTACAGGCAGCTCATAGTCCTTGACTGTAGCTCAGAAAGGGTGACAGCCAGGGTCAATTACTCTAATTTCCCACTATCCACAGGCAGAAAGGATTGGATGTCTGCTGGTGTTAGGAAATGCACTACGCCACTTTATTATCAGTAACTCAGATTCCATTGCTCTGCTTACAAATCAGATGGAGGTTACACACCCTTAGTATTTTAGAAGCAGATATAAATAATTCGACCTTGAGGTAGGTCATGATAGAGCATGGCTTGTTTTCTCATGTATCAACTGGAACTAACTATCGCAATCACAACTATAAAATTAAAATAGATACTTGTGCATGAAAAGACCACTTTGGAAAACCAGCAAATCGAGTTCCTCGTATTTAAAGCATAGTAAGGCATCTGAGATGATAAATTATAAACATCTAGTTTCCTAACTCATCAACAGTCAGCTAAACCAACTATAAATAACACATTTTGTATTATTTAGGTTTTTTAATTTGCTTACAAAGTTTTTAATAGGAAATTAGGAATTCTAAGTCATACTTTTCATTATTTGTTAATTTAAGATTATTTTGCTAAGTTGATCTGATTCAGAAGTTTAATTACTCAAAAGGATAGTTCCAAAGTTTTCTGATCACAGGAATCATCCAGAGCTCCTGTTAAAGATCAGAGAAGTCCAGGCCTCAGTCCAGACCTGCTCAGTCAGCTCTGCCTGCCAAGGAGAGGCCCAGAAATCTGCGTTTTTAATCAAGTGCCCCAGGTGATACTTTCTATGAGGCAAGTTTGACAAACACTAAAAGTGAATTAAAAAGGTGATACCATAAGAGAATTTAATCTACCTTTGGATTTGCTCGGTTTGGGGGTGAGCAAAGAAAATACCAGAGGTCTGTGGGCCATGTAATAATCACCTTTGTTACTGTGTTTTCACAGTAATGATTACCAGTTTGTTAAGCTAACAGAAAAATACCACTGAAGTTTAAGGAATTACCTGCAATATTCCAGAATGAGGCTTGTGTCCATATCTGTATTTTCCACAAGTGCTTTAATGAGGTCTTTCTTGGCAAGAAAATGTTGCCTGAAAACTGGTTGAAAGGAAATCTAGAAATAAAAAGAACAAAATAAAACTCTATAAACAAGGGCAACATTATGACTTACCCTTACCCTTACTATCTTTTTTTTTTTTGGAGAGAGCCCTGGCTGGAGTACAGCAGCGTCATCACAGCTCACTGCAACCTAAAATTCCTGGGCTCAAGCAATCCTGCCTCAACCTCTCGAGTAGCTACACCTGTAGGTATTTGCTACCACGTTGGGCTAATTTTTGAATTTTTTTGTAGAGATGCAATCTCACTATGTTGCCCAGAGTGGCCTCAAGCCATCCTTCCGCTTTGGCCTCCCAAAGTGCTAGGGTTATAGGTATGAGCCACTGTGCCCTGCCTACCCTTTGGTTAAAAGGAAAATTCTTCTATAGTTCCTCCAATTTTTATTTTTATACCCAACCCAACCATCGTTCTGAGATTTGAGATGTACGTAGGTCCAAAATCTCTCTTAGCCGCCCTGTTGCCTCTTCATCCATGAAGTTTGGTGGTTGAGGTCAGCGGAACACCAGTCTCAATACTATAGAAATTAGGTTTCAAAACATATACTATTTCTGCAGTGGTTACCTTCCTGATAAGCCAACTGTTTGAAAATAAAATAAGATGTTTTACATCTTTTGTAACATTTTTGTCTATTCTTTTGCTAAGTAATTTTACTTTTTCTTTTTTCACTAAAAGAGCCTAACAGACGCAGCCTAGATCTTATGCAGAAGTCAAAAACATAGGGACTTTCCTTTTCCCTACTCATCTTAATAGAAGTTCTTGAAAGAATCATAGTACTTGTATATATACCTTCTTAATACTATCTTTAACCAAATAACAGCAGCAGAAAAGTAAAATATGAGTATATGTTAGTATCAGTTGACACTTATGCTATTCAAGGCCTACGCCTTTAGCCTCATACTTTTATTTTCTGCTGGCTGTTATATTGGTTAAAGATAATATTAAAATATATATACAATGATACTATTTTCATGAACTTCTATTAATAGTAGGGAACAAAAAGGAAATGTCCTATTTTTGACCTTTGCATCAACCTCTGGCCTCTTCTTAGTGAAAAAATGAAAAGTAAAATTACTTAGCAATCAAGAAATAGACAAAAATGTTACAAAAGATGTAAAACATCTATTTTATTTTCAACGTGTGGCCTTATCAGGAAGGTACACCCACTGCAAGAATAGTATATGTTCTTTGACAACCCTAATTTCTATAGTTTCGGGACTCGCGCCTCCGCTGACTCACCACCAAACTTCATGGATGCAGACGGCAACAGGGGCGGCTAAGAGAGATTTTGGACTACGTACATCTCAAATCTCAGAACGATGGTCGTGGTTGGTACTCCACCCAATAAAAATTGGAGGAACTACTAAGATTTGCCTTTCTAATCCCAACGGGTACCGCAGGGACAGTGGCTGACACCCATACCCTCAGCACTTTGGGAAGCGCCGAAGCGAAGGTGCTTGAGGCGACTCTGGGCAACAGTAGTGAGCATGCATCTCCTAACAAAAAATTCCAAATTTAGACAACGTGGTACCATACTACCAGGTGTAGCTACTCGAAGCTGGGCACGCGACATTGCTTGAGCCCAGGATTTGCCAGCGTTGCAGTGAGCTGTGATGACGCCGCTGTACTCCAGCCAAGGCGGCTCTCTCAAAAAAAAAAAGATAGTAACGGTAGGTCATCAATGTTCGCCCTTGTTTACTAGAGTTTTATTTTGCTCTTTTTATTTCATAGATTTTCCTTTCACAGCTTTTAGGCAACATTTTCTTGCAAGGAAAGAACCTCATTAAAGCACTTGTGGAAAATACACGAATATGGACCAAGCTCCATTCTGGAATATTGCATCGTAATTTCCTTTACTTCAAGTGGCGTATTTTCTGTTAGCTTAACAAAACTAGAGCGGTAACTCACTTACTGTGGAAAACACAGTAACAAAGGTGATTCATTCACATGGCCCCAGACCTCTGGTACATCTTCTTGCCT